ATTATGTGAATAAATAAGAGCAGAACAGCGTGGCTTAATTCAGTTCTGAAAACATTTCATTTTACCTCTTCAGGTACATACTACAATGAAAAGATATAATAAAAGCCTACAAGTAACACTTATTGTGGATGAGCTGTTGATGTCAGCTTCTTGCATCTTTCTTCCAAGGCTGGAGGTGTGGAGGGGGCTGGAGTAGACCAACAACTCTTTCTGCTCTAACATTTCAGGCTTCCATCGTCCGTCTGATTGTGAACACATAGTTCGGCGCTAATCGGTTTCAACATTTTCATTAGCCATTTGGCCAACTGCTTTTGGCACGAACGATTTGTTGACAAGATAGGTCTAAATGACACCGGGGGGTTGTCTAACTTCGTGAGACCGTGTCATTGTGGTGTCTGTGATGATCGTAGTTTAAGACGTTTAGTGGTCTACACTAACTGTTTCTTTGGTAGAAAAATGTATGAATTTAACCTCAACAGTTCATTCACGATAACTGTTACTTTTCAGATTTCATTATACATTTTTAATTTTAGTTTTTACCAGAAGAGATGCAGCGAAATGTTTTGAGAAATACATTTTGCAACACTGGGCTGCTGTGTTCTCCATTTAAGTTCATATCGGGAACAGGTTGTTTCACCACATGCTGTTGTCAAATATGATTAACTGCTTTTGTAATTTCTGCAAATGCTCTGGTCATGCTCTCATTCAGTGTGTACAAATCATCCGGTTCGTATACTGTTAAATAAAAAAATTAATCGAACCGCTGGAAATATCGTCCAGTGTATACTATAAGTAGTATTTATCTGTAGGTTTTAGGCAGATTTCACTCAATACAGATAACCCTTATTGAACAATCCGTCATAGGGATACTGGTTACATTACTAATCTAGTGTAGTGTTTGTAGTAGTAGCAATATTTCGTTTATTGAAAGAAATTAGGGGGATTAAATCATGTGTGCAAAACAAGTTCATTGGTAATCCAAACTTCTGCCAATCGCGTGCTAGTATCTCTGCCATTGTCCTGTCCTGGACCGCATGGTTTTTGATTGGCTGCTACCATCGACCTCTGGTGTGTAGTCCAGAAACTGTGACACGCACGCGCTTTGCTGACATCACCCGGAAAGCTTGATTCGTCACGGTTGTCCGAAAATTGTGAGGTGTCGCTCTATGGCATACGTCATCTTGCAGGCTAGGATCACCGCATCTGGGAATAGCCACTCAACTCGACATAGATTATTCCCGGCCTTGTTTTCGTTCTCCAAGTATGAGTGACTTGTAGATTGTGAATGGATCAATCGTCAACCGGGAAAAAAGCTGACTGCAACGAGGAAAACTTCCGAACTTTGTGCACAAAAGAAATCACGCAACAGCAAAATCATTAGGCATGCAACGGCTTGCTGCAAATTCCCTTGTTACGGATGTCACAATGCTTTGAAACTGGTCTCCGACCCTGTGTTGATTGCTCAGCCAGTGAGTATCAATGTGTTTGGCTTGGAAGTTCGAACCCATCTGATTTACGCAGCTATTTTCGGTTTACACTCATTGGGAGATCGCTTAGTTCCCAGAAGTTATATGACCTGAATGATGATGAGTGCCAACAAGTGGGAAACAGCTGTCCAATGCTCTTAGTCAGCCACCACAATAATTCAACCACGATTGATTGATTGATTGATCGAGGAAAAAGCAAGCCTGCTTTAGGTGATATATCAACCGGATAACTACGCCATTGCCCAAACATGAAAAAGGAGAAGGGCATGAGTGGGAAACATGGCCAACTATGGATGAGACTGTATCGAAGCAACAAACGGAAGCCATGTAATTGTGTACGTGTGCACGTGTGTAAGTAAGTAAACAAATGTGAACGAACAATTCAGCAATTCACTGAAAATTCGCATCGTGACATTGACAGAACAACAGGAGTAGCGAACAAGCTCATTTTCGATAACTTCATCATCTCGCTAATACAATTATATACATTTAGTGAATAAACGTGCAGCCAATACTGTCAGAACGAAAATGCTTTGATTGGACGGCATGGGGGATGGTGAAGAGTGGTTGGGAAAGACGTGAAAACAAAAAATTGTTAATCCGTGGTTTAGAATAGGGGGAATCGTGAAAACAGAGAAATTGGAGGGAGGGGGAAGAGGGATGAAACAGGAAGGACTAGGTCACACACACACACACACACACTTAGGTCAAAGGGTCACGAGAAGCGTCATGGGTGAATTGACGTCAAGTGTCGGGTCTGGGCCAGGGTAGCTGCTGTAGGGCTTTGACGAATTGTTTTTGTGAGCATAGAGTTGGTCGCAATAACCTTATTGCTACCGCCTCTGCTGTCGCAAGATGTCGCTATCGGAGGGTTTTGGACGGATTTGGGGATACCTTTTAGATAAATTTGAACGCATCCTCAGTTATCTGATGTCCGGTATCTACGAGGTGCGCGGTGATTGCAATCCAAACGGTCCTTATGGTTCCTGCGTTTACTAACCAGACCCATGTTGTGTTCCTTGATTCTTTGAGAAAACTGTCTGATTGTCCTGCCTATGTAGCTTGCCGAACATAACCAAACAAACGAATAGGTCAACAAAGGACGAGGTGAGTGAGGATAGGCAATTTATCTTTGAAATTCAATGAGATTCAATTGTTGCCGATATTATTTTACCTTTCGAAATAAATAAATTTCAAACAATACATTGTTATTTCACCTGTAAACATTTATGATTATTTGTTCGCCATTCACAAAAAATGATGCGATCAACAAATTTCTTTATTGAGTAATTTTGTCTTTCACGACCGTTTTCAACATATTTAATAATAATTTTTATTGGTTCTCACATCTGAATATTTGACACACCAATAAGTCTTGATTTAATAATATCACAAACCAATCAGCATTAAAAAAATCGAATTCGAATGTGTGTGAAACACCAAGTGTGTTTTTTAGATTATTTCAAGAATACTAAACTGCTCTTGTGTTCTACTTACTCTCCCACCTCCCTCTCTCTCCTCAAAACAAACACACACATTACCATAATTTAGATCAACAGTTTTGGATTGAGCCGAATCCGGATGACCTGGAAAATTGGCCAGTTACCGAAGAGAATCAGAGCTTTGAATTCAACTATCCCCTGAATGATCAACAATCACAACTAGAGGAACAACAGCAGCAACAGCAACAGCAGCAGCAACAACAACAACAAAACTCTGTCCGTTCCGGAAGCACAATCACTGGCACTCCGCCGAACGAGGCGTCCGTCTTTCCCGATGACCGGGTGCATGGAAAGCGAAACACGTTACGTCAAGCAAACTCTCCCAAACTGATGCCCAATTCGCAAGCCGATCATGCGATCTCTGTCGAAACACGCGTATGCGTGATCATTGGTCTTCTGTTTTTTCTGCATGCTATTTGGTGAAATCTTTCACAGGCACACACACACACACAAATGCACAAATTCAAATTAGCGAATACACGAACTGACTATCTCGTGTGAATGTGAAAATAATGTTCAGTTCGCTTCGTTGATCCGGTTCGAAATCCTCATACCCAGTGTTCATCTGTGTTCAATACTCATGGTCCCAAACCCAGTTCTTGATCCCGCCTGATGCCTGCCAACCAGCCCTCACCAACCCCCTTCCCCCCAGGTCTCTTTCCCCCAATGGTAGTTTTCATATCATCTTTGTTTTATGCATTCTGCTTATCCTGGATATCGGTATTGCCAAATCTCTCTCTTGATCTCTCTCTCTCTTTCTCTCTCTCTCTCTTTGTAAAAATCATCATTGACCAAATCAGTAGGCACAGATAAATATCGAATTAATTTTACTCTCTCAAAAGTATTTTGCTCGTTCCGCACTCTTAATACTACTACTACTACTACTGTTATCAGTAATAGTAAAACGAGAGGAAAACTGAGATCAGGACAGTGTGATGGAGAATTTAAACTCACATTATGGACTCGATCTATCGAGCATCACACCAACTGGAGTTTCCCTCTGTTTACTCACATAACTCATTCTAGAATGTGATTGTTCTCGTATTTATTGACCCGCGACCTTTCTTATGAATCGCCTTGTTCAATATTGCTTTGACATGATTAATCTGTTCTCGGCTGTATGGTGGTTTCTTTTTTTGGTTTGTATTCATATTTCACACGGGTTTTCTTTTCAATCTGTACAATGGAAAAGAAAGGTGTACGAGAATGCCCAAATATACTCTGTTATAGCTGCACATGGCAACTGAGTGATCATGTTTGTGCCTGTAAATGACAAGTTCAAAAACATACTGATTATTGATGCTGTATGGCACACTCTAGCCTGGTTGTTTCTCACGCAACACCGGATTATAGTTCCTGGCAAAATAACATTCTGGAAAGTCATTCTGTCTCACGTGGATCCATTTAGCTGAGATCGAGAGTGAGTGAGAGAGCGAGTGTGTGTGTGAAATGATCTCACAGTTGGTAATCAATTCGTGATTCCGAACAAGCGCTTGTGAATTGGAAGACCGTTTCCTTTTCCACTAGATGGAGTGCAAACTAACCTATGATAACTATTTCATTCAGTCTTTGGGAACAAAAGATGACAATGCAGTTTTTTCTGAACTTCTGAAATATAATAGAAATTTGATCGCCCGATTTCAGATAAACTGTAAAAACGAATGAAAAGTTGTGGTCTGGGTTTCCAGTTCGCGGGACGTTTTCACTACCATATGGTCAGATATTGACAGGTTGACACTTCTGATGATCACATCTCGTTTGGACCCGATAAAGTGACGAGTTTCACTGATTCCAGTGCATTTCAGCTCAAAGCCGGTATGGATGACCTGACTTGGTGGGAGGCTTTTGATTCGAGTTTACATACAGTCATCTATGTTTCCTTTTGTTGCTGTCGGATCAAACGAACTGAATGACTATCTCTAAAGACGACATCTGAACAAACATGAATTGGCAATTCGGTTCAGCCCTGACATGAGCTGATTGACACAGTGGTAACGCACACGCCTTTCATACAATGTGTCCGGAGTTCAAATCCCGACCGGAACGGTGGATGTGTACCACTGGTGAGCTCTAATAAGAGCAAAACTCGAATCTAGTGCTTCCGAGTGTGTGGTTGAGTGGAAGAATTAAGGAATATGCCTGAAAGTGAATTGTGAAGGGTGATCAGTTCCAATGAATTAATCAATACCAATTATCTCACAACACTACTCAGAATTAAACTGAGTTAAATGTGAAATTGATTTTTCTTTGGGTACGCGAAACAAATTGCTTCAATCATCTAGTAATCAATAACAGGTACGGAAAAACAAGCTAGGTTGTTCATTCTAACAACGATGTGGATTTCACCTTTGGTGTTCGAATTCAAAATTGTATCTGATGATCAGTAACAACGGAACAACATTTGGTTATTGAGAAAAAATAGATTTGTGTTTCTGATTACTTACTTCATTATCCAGTTACGACATC